AGAAATGAATGGGTCTGGCTTGATGTAATTAGAATCACAGAGTCATTGGAAGGGACCTCCGAAAGCCATCTAGCCCAATTCCCCTGCACTGCACAGTGACACCATAGCTGGATCAGGTTGCCCAGGGCCTGATCAGCCTGGCCTTGAAAGTTTCCAGGGATGGGGCATCCACCACAACACTATGTAACTTGTTCCAGTGCCTCACCACCCTCACTGTAAAAGACTTTTTCCTTAGACCCAACCTAAGTCTCCCTTCTTTTAGTTTTGAAACCATTTCCTCTTGTTCTGTCACCACAGGCCCTGCTAAAGAGTCTGTCCCCTTCTTTCTTGTCACTCCCCTTTAGATACTGACAGCTGCCCTCTGCTCTCCCCACAGCCTTCTCTTCTCCATCTGCACAGCCCCAGCTCTCAGCCTGTCCTGTAGGAGAGGTGTTCCAGTCCATGGATAGATTAATGTTGGAAAGCAGAAATAAACAATCACCCCCTCTTTTCCCCACTCTCCCTTCACAGTTATCTAGGTAGAAAGTTCTCCCTAGTATTTTATAGTGTAAAACCTTGGAAAATGTCTTCAAAATCTGCATATTTTTTGTGGGCCTGGTGGATTGATGAGCATTGATTCTCTACTGGCAGGCTGCTGTAGCTGACATGTACAGGCCTAGCCTGGCAAATCCATTTCATTTCTATTTAAAATATCCTCCAGAAAATGCAGGAGCAGGAGCTCTTTGCCTTTACCCTTCATGTCAGTGGAGATGTTGTTCTTATCTCAGGAGGGCTCGGTGGCACTGGCAGATTTTTGGGGGGAAAAACACTTGACCACACTGACCATCTGCAATCACAGAGAGAAGACTGAGCTCTGGTCAAGAGAAGGTCAAAAAAAGAAAAGTTTTTTCCTTTCTTTTTTAAATTGATGAGCTTATTTGTCCCTTGGCAGGACAATAGCCTCTACAGATGTTTAAGTAGACCTTGCTGATGCTGTTCATTAGCAAGCAATAGCATGTGAGTGCACCAATCAATAGTTTGATAATTCCCAGCAGTGCCAGAGCAGCCAACTGCAAAAAGTTTAGGGTGGTGTAACTATTGTCTGGGCTGCCAGAATTGCTGACTTTGTGTCAGTTAACTTGGTAATAACCTAAAAAAATAATACCCACTTGATTTTTCCCCTGTATCATGACTGGCTGAGATTAAGGTGTGTTGTAGTGTGTGATTCACCAAACATGTTTGGAAGACATACTCAGCCCTCACTGCAGGGGAGGTTTCCCATGCCTAAATTGGATGGCAATGACAGGTTTGTCTCTCCCTTTTATCCTGCCTAGTCTCTGTAAGGAATGGTATTGATTCACATAAGTATTTATGAGAAGCTCAGTGCCATCTTAGCAGCACGTGCATTACTGGGCAGCAATCTGCAGTCACACTGTTGAGGTGAAGATAATCCTAAATGCTCTAAACGTTGAGGTCAAGTAATTTTAATTATGTGTTTTGTTAATATTGTCAAGCTGTGAATTTAACTACAGTTAATGCAGATGAAAGATCAGCTAAGGAGGGCGACTCAGTCCCTTGGACTCACACAGCTGCTGTCAGCACTCACAGTGATCATGGTGCCTAAGGGGACTTGGGGCCATCTTCGCTGACCCCAGCAGGCTTAGTCCCTGGCAGGAGTCCTGAATGGCTGCTCATGGGGGCTGCTGGGCAGCCAGCTGCCAGCACTGAATATCCCTTCTGGCAGGATTTGAGTGTTCACGCTAGAAGCCTGGATAAGGGAAAGCAGGGGTGCTGTATTGTGATTGCTATGTAGTGTATTACAGATCTTAAAACAAATGTTATTAGAAGTATATACTGAAATTCTGAATACATCACATGAGAAAAGTAAGTTCACATACCAAGGTCCATAGGCCATCGATATGAGGTTAGCTAAAGTCTTCAAAGATTTAAACTCCATTTCTGGAAAGAAATGGAATGATGATGGTAAGGAAGATTCCAGCAATGGAGAGAGCTCTAACCTGGGAAGCACGGAGCTTCAAAATGCAGAAGGTAAATACCAGAACAGACTGAAGCTGGGGCTTCTGTTTGGTTTTATGAAGTCATGATTTGTGGGGTTGATTCTTGGATATTGAACCATCTGGGGTTCACTTTGTTGAGACTGGAGTTTCATTTCTGTGCTACTCTTTACACTGACACTTTATTTACCATACTATCTTTTTGCCTTTTGAATGTCAGTAGTAGACTGAACATAACCAGCCCTGACTCTGAGAAGAAGGTTTGAGAGAAAAACTCATTTAACTCTGAGCATCTCAGACAAAAGCCTGGAGTGAGCAAGCAGCTGAAACTCTTAACAAACTGGAAAAGGACATGAAATATTTGCTGAAATTTGTGACTTAAAAACCGAATATGGGATTGAAAAACATGCTGAATTGGATTAGGACTAGGGCTATTCTTATTTATTTATTTTTAAGCAGAGAGCTAATTAGAATCCTAAGTTAGAATTGTCTGTCAGAGAAGCACTCTGCTGTAAAGACAAAGAGAGAATTCAGAGTTAAGTCCTTTCCATGTAAAGGATAAAGTCAGAATTTTCTAATGTATTATTTAATGCTTGTTATGTAGTGCATTAAGCAATCACTGAGAGGAAAGCTTTTAAAAACCAACGGCTTCTCTGATAGCATTAAATCTTACCTTAGATTTTTTGGTTAGGTCAATATTAAGAAAATAAATGAATTAATACATTTCAGTCTGCCCGATTTATAGAGGCCAATCAAGTTACAATGCTGGACATGGCCAAGTGAAAGAGGGGAATAGATTTACCTGAGTGAGGTCTTAATTTAATCAGCTGGCCCCAGAGAGCTGAAGTCAGCAGGCTGGGATGATATAAGAGGCAGCAGAGAAACAGCGTGTTTTCCACAGTCAGAAAGGAGAATGACAGTGATGGAAAGGAGTCTAGGCAGTGTCAGAGCACACCTATTTCCGTGATTTATCCTTAATTTACTTTAATGACAGTCTGAAGGTTGTCCTTTTTTTTTTTTTTTAAGTGTCCTCAGAATACTGGTATTTCCTAAATATTTACAGCATGCTTTTTCTCCCCCTCCCTTCTGTTAGTTCCACTGCAAGCTGGAATTGAGGAACATTTTGCCATAGCAAATTTGGAACAGAATGGCACACTGCTTTTTTCCCACTGCATTTCTTGCCAGCTGTGTCCCTTCTCTGCAGTAAGCCTTGAATCAGGTTTAGTAATCGCAGGCTCCTCTGGATCAGTGTTGATTGTCCAGGTTTCAGCTGGGCAAAGGATGATTCACAGTATTGGTGTGGTGCCATGTTGTGGCTGTAGGAGAAAAACAACGTGGGAACAGCAACTTTTAGCTGTTGCTGAGCAGTGCTGCAGAGAACCGAGGACACTTCAGTTTTCAGCTTTGTGTGCTGCCCTGCCAGTGAGGGGCTGGGAGGGGACAGAGCCAGGACAGCTGCCCTACACTGACCATGCTGTATGGTGGCATGTGGAAAAACTATGAAACTGGTGAGTTGACCGAGAGGGCTGGCACTGTGTAGGGACTGGCTGGGCATTGGTCAGCAAATGGTGACCAAGAACGAGAAGCTTGAGAATCGCTTTCTTTGTAAATAAATATATTTATATTTCCATGTATACATGGAACACTGGGGAAGGGGAAGCAGTGAGCAAAAGGCTGTGTGGTGTTCAGCTGCTTCATATTATGATAAAATGGAAGAATTCGTTGCATTTCTTTTACAGTTTATACTGGCAAGAACAATGTGTGCTTTCCCAGTACAATAGCTCATTTTTATTATCAAGTGGGTTTATTGATGGTTGGTCAGAACTACTGATATGCAGACAATGATCTCAGATTGCATTTACATGTCTGGAATACTTTCTGCCTTTCTAATTTCTACTAAGAGCTTGCTTCTCTGATTCAGAGGGGGGTTCCATTTGTTTGTTTGTTTTTTAATTATAAGATTGGGCTGTTGTTTAATTTGCATGACAAAATTACACGTTCTGCATTATGTGTGTATGTGCATTGCATTCATTAGTATCACAAAAAAATTTTTATAGCTTGGACCTGAATAATTATTGTTAATTTATCAATTCTTGCAGGTAAGAATTTGGTTATATGCCAGGCACTTAGGTATGCTTTTGCAGATCATGTCATCATTAGAGGAAGTACTGATTTTTCCCACAATGCCAGTGAAGGACTCAATGGCAATAAGATTGCAGTGATACTTGCAAATATAACTGGAAACCTTTATCAATCATTTTCTCATTTGAAAAGTCTGTGTTTTTGCAAGAAAAGACTACTGATACTAGTTTTCTTGCATATCTAATCCTTTACATAAAAGTGTCCCACATTGTCCCAAAATGCATCTGGAGGGATGAAAAATAAATAAATAATCAGTGAAACGGATCCATATCTTATGGACAAAACAAACGAACAAAAACAAAAAAACCCTTTTATTTACTAGGCAAAATGATGAAACAAAACTTAAAGCGTTTTCTCTTTGTAGCCACTTTATTTGTTCACATTGATAAATAAGGCATATCAGACACCTATGTAGTTCTTTGTGTTTGTAGCCTTTCTTGCCAGATTGTCCTACTGTACCAAAAGTCCTGTGTTGCTTTAGAGTGAAGGCAATGCAAAAAGAAACTAGGAAGCTGGCTTTTGAATTAAGTCAATATGTTCTCCAACTCTCTTCCTATGGTAGCTTAACAACTTGACAGGTATTTCCATGTTACAAAACTGGTCAACCCTAGCATAAGCCAGTTCTTATCCCAGGTGAAAATGAAGGTATTTTTAAAGGGATAAAACTGTGACCAGGGTAGGCCGGAATTCCTGAGCAAAATAGTGGGTGCCTAGCAAAATGATGTGGCCATTGGGTTCAACTGAAACGTTAATATAGGCATCCTGTCACTTTCTGTACATAGTTTGGTTATTCAGGCTAGAGTACTTATGCCATTCCATGTTCCAGATGTGTGATTAATCCTACATTTACTTTCATGTTTTCAGATATACTCAAGGACAAGAGAACCCATCCAGAAAACAGAAATGAACCAAAACCAACCATGAAAAAGATTGTCACCACAACCACCACAAGCACTGTCAAGTCATCCTCTAAACACAGTGTAACTGGAAATGGGAGCAGTGCGGCCCTGAGTTCCTCACTTGTTATTTTAACAGCACTAGCAGTTCTGTGGCCTTGCCCCCCATAGCTGCACACTACTGCAGCCACTGCACAAGCCTTTCTGTTCACTGTCATGTATACCTGCAGCCTTACCCAGAGAAAACAAAGCGAAATAGCTGTCTATTTTACTTGATGTTAGAATAAATATTAAACAATGTGCTGGAGTTGGTGGATAGGAAGCGTCCTCACCTAGAGTGAAGATAGCTTTTGACAAAGCCCAGCCAGGATGCAGAGAAAATGATGACAGATATTCAATTAGCTTTAGTTATGGGATAGGAATAATTGAGAACATGAGAACTGTGTATGTGTGTTACTGTTTTTCTCAGTTATATTCACTGGAATCAGATTGGCTGTTGTTTTTTTTTTTTTTAAGTTTTTTCTGATAAATTAAAGGAATGGTCAGTCTTCAAATCTAAGCCAATACATGCATTATTCCTCCAGTGAGCGGCTAATAAGCTACATCTACAGCTGTAAAACATGCTAAAGTGAAGTACTTTGACCAACTTGATGAAATTCCTAAGTGGTCAAGAAGATCAAAGCATGTCTGAAATTTCTTTTAACTGCTACTGTTTAGATTGTAGGAAGCCGCACAAAAGCATAAGGCGTGTTTAATATATCAGCATACTTGCCTTAACAATTGCAAAAATTAGAAACACTTTGTTTACTGAGAGCAATATAGATAGTGAGTTTCCCTGCTCCACAAAATGGTATCACCAAATGCTCAAACATATGCTCAAGGCTGATGGGATGAATGTCCAGCAGCAGGAAATACCAGCACAATAGTATTTTCTTCAGTTGAATGCAGTTTTGTACAGTGGTGGGGGGGAAAAACATTCAGTTAAAATTCACTTTGTCTGTGTGTTGTTAAAGAGAAAATAACTTTAATTTTCCGTAAAGGACTGAGAGGTGTAAGTTAATGGGAACTACCATTAAACACAACCAAGATTTTGGGCATTGTGGATCTCTGAAATCAACTGTTTCATAAACTCTGTATTATTTAATTACATTTAATGTTTAAAATTTTCTATCACTATAGGTGTAAATGTAAAATAGTCAAATCTAGAATATTCTTTATTACATCTCAATTTCTATCCTAGAAAATGTCAAAATGTGCATTATATTTCAAGGCTTCTTTTTTTTTTATCCATCATATCTTGATATATTATAACTTTTCAAATGGAAAGTACTAAACTTCTAATGGATTAAGTGTCAGTGTGTGTTTTCCAACAGCTATGTTTACAGTACCATTGAATATATGTATACAAACACAACTGTATGAATACAGCAATTAATGATAAGTTTGTGAAACATTAGAATTGTTATACTTGCTGCATTTCATAACTGTTACAACAACTTAATGTCCATTTTCATGTTGTAGACTGTTATTGTGTACAGTTTTATAAGATTGAACGTAAAACTTTTTTTTTTTTTTTGTAGAGCATCTCTTTTGATATATAAATCTTTTGATACTTACAGTTACACAGCCACTGACATCATCCAGAAGAACCCTATGACTCACTAATCAGCTTCAGGCATTTTATTGAGAAACCTTGATTGTGAAGGACATCTTGATTTAAAGGAAGTGTTATGTGTCAGTGTTACTGAGTGCCATTGTATGTAAAGTGGCAATAATGCAAGACAACACAACACATAACCGGACAAAGACTCACTGTGCTTGCCATGTTTTCAGATGGCATTAGTGAACATGTCTAATTATATTTGCAGAGATGGGGTCTTCGTTGTTTTGGTTTTTTTTAATTGGGCTGTAAGTTTTCATTGACAGATATAGAAGTGTAATCAGAACCATCGACAGGTGTGAAGGAGTTGGCTCTAAAGTGAAAAAAAAGAATTCTGAAAGTGTTCAATTTTAACGTTGAAACAAGGAGATGAAATAGAAAAAGATTCTTGTGCTAAAGTGAAATATTTTCTATTTTGTGTTCCGATTTTTCACTATGCTAAGGTTATTAATATCACTCAGTAGGGCTTTCCAAATCGTATCAGTGTAAATCAGGTTTCCCAAAGGTACAAAAACGTCTGTCCAGTGCTTTCCAAAGTTTGGGGGCTGCACCAGTCTATTGAACCATAATTACAAATGCCACATTTTGCATTCATTGTCACTGCCCTTGGGAAGAGTGCACTTCTACCTGAGGAGATGTACTGTGAAAGAACACCATTGCTCCTTGCAGCCTTAACAGATCGGTTGTGACTGGTACTGTTAAACAGCCTGGTCTCTGTGTACACACAGAAATGTGCTTTTAGCGCACACATGCATCACCAGCTCCTCGGGTAATACTGATCACTGTGGCTTCACTGAAGCAATATAACATTTTTCATGCTTATGAACGTAGTACATTCTCACATTTGAGATCCTGAGTCATCATTCAGGCACACGTGTTGGCATTTGCACCCTTAAGTCTCCATCAGTTTTCCTATGGATAGGGATAGGGTTTCAGGGTTAGGCTCAAACACTGCCACACTCCAGCAAGGCAGCAGCTTGGCCTTTCATTTCTCACTTGGAAAGTGGGAACTTCAATACCTGGAACATGCATGTCTTTTTGAGGTCTTTGTGTTTTTAGGGCAGGCCAGTGATCCAGATAGCCTCATATTGAGCTGTAGCAGGGCAAGTTGCATGTGTGGAATAACTCACCCAGAGGATTTTTTGTTCTTGATAAATCTCATGACCTTGCTAAACAAAAACCTCTGAAAAACTAAGTATTTGAATTTTGGGTTTGGTTAGCAAGTTTTTGTCTGAGGTAGCATTGATTCTGTAATTATATGATTCTGTAATCTTCTGTGTTCTAGTGACAAAACTAGAACAAGTGGCAAGGTAAGGTAGGTCCATTGATTCATTTTGTTAATAGGCACAGGACAGGGGAATAGACTGCAGAGGATTCAGTTGCTACCAATGCATTTCACAGTGATGTACTTTTACTCTGTAAGAAGAGTACTGGTCATGAAATATGTTCATAATGTGCATCAGAAGTGGTGCAGCTTTTAAGAGCAATGCAGTATATTTTTACTGATATTTTATGATTTTTTTTTTCGTCAGGATCAGTTGCATTTACATGTGAAAAAGTATTTTCCATCAAACAAAAAAATTATACTAGCAAAGGCAAGACAAACTGGCTTCATCAGGCAGGAAGTGTTCCTTTTTGGATGAATAAGATAAATCTTGTTTTGATATTAGGGACGCATGTAATTCTCAGTAATTGCAAAGGTCTAAATTGGAAATACTTTTGAACTTGTCTATGTAATATTAATGTAAAATAACGCACCAGTCTAAGACCATTGCTGTAACTTTACCTAACAGTTATGAATTGTATGCAGCCACTGCTTTCTGGATGTTTATTGTATAGCTACAACCTTCATTTAATATTTTGCCAGTGCTGGAAAGTCTACTTGCTGCTGCTGTCACGCATTTGAGTAGAATCAATCTATATTTTCCTCTTGATAGTGATGTATCCTTCTTAGCAAATAAGGTGGAATTGCTGTGAACATGCGGTCACCTCTCAGTATTTGACTGCTATTTAGGCAGCATGTTCCATCAGGTTCACGTGAAAGGTTTGAGAAATTCCCATGTCACTGTTCTCCTTCATGGCTGTGGATGCATCAGGGAGAAAAGCCAACACAAACGAACAAAAGTGTGTATGGCTGCAGCGTGCCAGTGCATAACAACGTCCAGCTGTCTTTTCTGAGGCTCTGAGCCAAGTGTTTCCCTCTAGTTTTCAAGCAGTTTTTTACACCTCTCTAAGTTAGAGCATGGAGACTGGCCAGGCAAAGAGCAGCTGGAGAATCTACAGACTACATTTCAAGGCACTTCGCTGACACCTCCTATGAATTGCACTTGCTTAACAGTTTGCATGCTCTCTGAAAATTGGCAGCTCATTTTCAACCTTGCATTTTTTTCTGGTTTGCCTGTTGCAGATGCTGTGCCCTGTCCTGGAGTGGATCAGATACTTGGTCATTGTGTAAAGAACTGTGATTCTGTTCTTTCACTCAATAATGAACCTTCTGAGGTACAGATGTCTGTCAGAGCCTGGTAGAGCAATACAGATAATAATGTCCAGCTGCATTTACTTTAGAGGCTCTGTGTATGGGTATCTGGCTAGGAGATTCATATCTCTTTGATCTCTTAAGTCACATGCCTATTTAATATATTCCTATTTCCTTTTGTTACCAGGACTGCACCATGTATGATTATGTTTCAGTTTGAATCTCTAATGCTATATGCGTCTTAATGCTGTCCTGATGGGTGCTGTGTGCAGTCTAGTTTCTAATGTTAGATGAGCCTTTTTGCCCAAATTTACTGAGCCATTCTTATTCAGTACTGCACATGATTAGTTTTAAGCAAGACCTGTTCAAGTGAAAGAAGCTAAAGCACATTAAAGTAGGAAACAAATCCGGAAAGTCCTTGTGTTGCAGAACGGGCCTCTTCACATTAAACAGATTATAATGTTTAGCTAAAACTAGAGTCAAAATTTCATAACTGATGTGTTCAAGAGGATTTCAGCCCAGTTTTTAAGCAAGAATTAATTGATACACATGCTTTCTTCATCTCTCTCTATAGGGGTTAAGATAGGTCTGTACATATATGGAACATTCCCTAAAATGTATCTTGCACATAGTATCAGAAGTGCTTATATCACAACTAGCCAAGAGCATTTGAGACATACATTTTCGTTTTTAGCTTTTCGCTGATCACAATGCTTCTTTCAGTGACATAGGGCACATGTTAATGAAAAGTGAGATGTAACAGTCAATGTTGCTATAGCTGTGACGTGCCTCATTTAAGATGTGATCATGTCTTATGCCTGTTGCCCCATTAGATGGAATTATTTTCTGGTTTGCACTGTCACTCCCTAAGGAGCTACATTTGAATTGTATTAAATATTAAACTGGAAAAAAAAATAGGCCAAGAGACTATAATAAGTAGATGAAAAACTCCAAAAAGTATTCTGTATTTAAAATAGAGGATGCTTCTAAATAAGAAATTCCATCCAAACTAGAACAATTTTCTAAGTCCCTTTCCCTGTCTCTGTGTTGAGCCCCATTCCTTTGCGCTCCATGCAGTGCAGTACGAAGCTTGGATGCAAGAAACTGCTGCACTCAGTTCAGGAAAATGAAACTATTGCTGCATAGTGCAATTCTGCTTTTAAGAGGAATGTATTCAATCTGCTGGTGCAGTTACTTAAGCACTTGTACAGTAAATAGCTGCAGTTGGTACAGCTCTCCAAAGAGGCTGTTGGACACACAGTGAAGTGTGATTTTTGCCTCGCTCCCATAGAACTGAAGTCATACTTGGTCCTTTAATAGGCTGATTCAGACATTCTAATTATTATTGACACTACAGTGATTTCCCCCGCAAAAATGTAATGCTTTTCTTAGAGAAGGACACGAGAGAGGCCATTGATGCTTTCATGAGGTGCACAAAGTACTTTGTTAAACAGCCCGTAACCACCTCTGAGGATTTTTTTTTTTCTTTTCTGTGCAAAATGCATTAATACTGCCTTGCAAAAATATGCTGTTTGCCCTAAATCATTTCAATTAATCTTTAGTAAATTACCCACTACTTTGTAATTATAATATTTGCAGCTAATTTAGTGCCATTCTAGAAAATCATTTGTTGTATAATATAAGCAATTAACATTTATTCATTTTTTCTGTTGCAGAGAGATACATAAATTATCCTCAGTGGCCTTTCTGTACACCTAATTAGCACCTGTTTGAATTATTCTACAGGATATGGACATTTCATTTAGAAAATAAATGCATTGCTAGTTTCACGAACTACTTGCAAATATGCAGTTATAAAAACTCATGAATAGAAAACCATATTTTCATGTGTCTTCTCTGTGTGTAAGGTAGGCTAGGCTCTTAGGCTATTACACATAGAATAGGTGCTGACATTTAAAATGCATTTAAAATGGAAATAGTCAGATGCCTCTTTCTCATCATTCAGTACACTATCACAGATTTATGTTGTGTTCTGTAATGAAAAGGAAAGCAAGGGGATGTTGAGAAAGTAGCTTCCAGTGTCACTCCCAGCTTTCTGTATATGGTTATACAGCTGAAGCATTGTATTAATTAGAGACTATCCAAAGCATTTCTATGCTGGAGTGTCAAAGATACTGTATTAAAGTGGTGGAAATTAAAGCAGATTGCTTCAATATTCTAAGTAGGCTTCAAGATAAAGATTCATTTTACGTTTAAGTTCATAGTATATTAAGATCATTTGATCTTTTTAAAACTGAGATCTGAGACAAACATTCTATCAAAAATGTCAATATGAAATACTGGTCATGTATGAAATCAGAAAATTAGGAAACTGAAAAGCTTTGAGATTTCTCCATGGGTATGAAATGTTGCAGTGGACCCTCAGCACCCATAAATCAGCACAGTGCCTTTCATTTCAGTTCAGCTGTGTAAATTTTAGTTAGTATCTATCCCCAGAATGAAAATCCTTTCCTATCTTTCAAATGGGTAGAAAATCAAGAGTAACTGCAGAGGTTATGGAATTTGCATAACAGTTTTACATTCCCTGTGCCACTGATCAGATCGTGTCATCATGCCTCAAATGAAAGTCTGCTAACACATGGGATGCCATGAGTCTTGTGGTGTTTTCCATTTCTAGGGGCATGGCCAGGACCTTTTCAAGAGAAGCAGCAACAATCTGGGGCTACAAGGAGATGTTCATACTGTCACTTTTAGGGAAGAAAGTCTTTCCTGGAGTTTTGCTGATATTTTATTTTATGCAAAACATTCATAATTGGAAGGAAACCAAAACAGGATGCACAGTTCCACAGTGACACACATTCACCTGTCTGGAGTTGTTCTCGGTGCATGCAGTGTTAACTGTCTGTCTGATTGCCATGAAAGAGCTATTTTGGCTATTTGTTTGAGGCAAGGCGCAGGCAAAAGCTTTTTACAAGTCCACAAATCAGTGAGGGAAATAGGAAGATATTTGGTGGCAATGTCATTAAAAATGAGAAAATGAATTTAAGTGGAATATTTG